CCGCCGCTCGAGACGCTGACTCGAGTATAAGCCGAGGGGGGCATTTTTCAGCCCCAAAAATGGGCTGAAAAACTCGGCTTATACTCGAGTATATACGGTAATTTAATTTTAGTTTCCTCAGAACATAAACAAGCTATTCTTGGGGAGCATTTAAAAGATAAAGACATCTCCAACTTACCCAATCTCAGTCTGGTCTTGAGTGATAGGGACTTCCTATTCTATTCCAGAAATACCTTCTGTCTTTCAAGTGCCTTCAGAATTAATATAAAAAGCTGCAATGGGAGGCTTTAAATAGGATTAAAGAGGAAGAAGGTGTAACTGTCTACTAAATATGGTATATTCACATATCTGGTGAAATTGGTGTGGTTAGGTTTCAACGGCAAATGTCCTAAGAGCTCTGTGGTCCCAAAGCCACAGTGAAGAAATTATGTGGTGGACTGAACTAGGCAAACTTAATATGAGGAAAGATCTGGAGGGGCTACAAAGGCATCACACCGATGTTAAGAGTGTCTGAATGTGGGATGATTTTTGTTGTTTTATTAAATAGGGTTTGGGAGAAAGAGAGACATGGGAGAGACATGAGAGAAAAGGAAAGGAATGGAAAAAAAATTGAGTGAAAATAGAATGCAGGTAGGGAAAGTATTGATCATGTATGAAAAATGTTCAAGGCTAGATTAACGTCCCTTCATCTACTACATCTTGGCTGTGAAGTCACTATTCCTCTCTGAACATAGCTTGTTGTTTAACAAAGTTTACCAAAGCAATTTTAATCCTGGAAGCCATCCTCATTTGCTACAAGATAAGTGGCAAATGATAGATAGATGATAGATAGATAAATAGAGAGAGAGAGAGATTAGATAGATAGATAGATAGATAGATAGATAGATAGATAGATAGATAGATAAACAGATATAGATAGATAGATAGATAGATAGACAGACAGACAGACAGACAGACAGACAGACAGACAGATTGATTTGATAGATGATAGATAAATAAAGAGAGAGAGAGATTAGATAGATAGATAGATAGATAGATAGATAGATAGATAGATAGATAGATAGATAGATAGATAGATAGATAGATAGATAGATAGATAGATAGAGACAGACAGACAGACAGACAGACAGACAGACAGACAGACAGACAGACAGACAGACAGGCAGATTGATTTGATTTCAGAGGTTTAGAGCAGTTGTGTCCAAGTGTCACTGACATCTGTAAAAGGTTGAAACATG